TACGTCTAGAAAAATAGAAGAGCAGATTTACTTATTTTCCAAGCTTTTTATGGACCTGGTCTATTGTAGAATGGTTTCTTCTAAAATCCAATTAATGGTTTGGCATTGGGTCCCTATTTTCTACTATTGGATCCAATCTCCTTATTAGCAGCTTTTTAAAAAACTTAGACATCATTGGTAACATTGAAATGGGCCTGTAAGACTTTGTTTCCCTCAAGAATTTCCCGGGTTTGAGCACCTTAATTACTTCCGCGACTTTCCGAGCACAGGAACATACCTACAATCCATAGCTGCATTCATGATTTTCGTCAAATGTTCCATACCTCGCCTGGTAGCTCTCTCAGTACTTCCACGGTAATAAGATCAAAACCTAGCGATTTTTTTTAACTTTAGGGATCTTATCTCTTAAGGAATTTCTAGTTGAGTAAGTGGAGCTATGCTGCGTGCTTCATTTGCGATAGATTCTACCAAACTTACATCTGATAAACATAAATATACACTTTAACGCCAAAATTTCAGTATGTGTGGATCAATATGTAAAAAACACAAATGCTTGCCTCTAATGGCATATGTACATAATATAATTCGCTGTATATACCTACGATTATCAGGTCAATCATAAACAAAAAAAGCTTTCACAAAGTTTTGTGTAATACAAAGGATTTAGATATGCGCATGCTTTTCAATTTTGTGTATGTCCTTAAACAGGGTTGTTTTTTACACTTTGTAGTACAATTTTAGTTTACAAAACATATTTGAAAGGATTTTTGTCAAAATTTTGACAAAATTTTGGCACAAATTTTGACAGATAAACTTCTGACCACATCAGATCAGATAAAAAGTCGTGGCGGTAAAGTATAGGCAATAACCAAGTACTATGTACATTAAGTTTGTTAATTCAAATGTAGCAATTTTTTAGTACTTTTTAATTATATCTGTGAAAGAAGAAAATGAAAAAAAGGAAATAGAGAATCATTTCCAGGAAATTATATGAGTTTACTATTTGCCGCACATACAAAATTCCAAAACATTTCGCTTTATGGGAGAATTCAGGATGAGTGTCTATGTTGCTATAAACGAATGGGTTGTTAAATATATATACATAATACGTGTAAACATTTTAAGTGTAAGTACTAGAAACAAAGTTGGGTCAAACCAGTGGTTTGTAAAGCAGCACTTTTCTGTCCAATAGATCAAAATACATTCTGGTTGTTAGAATTTTATTTAAAAATAATCTAGCTTTTACTTCATTTAAGTTAATTTCATTCATGAGCAAAATATTTCAAAGGTTATATACATTTCGGATGAAGCAAAAGAAAAAAAAAAGAACAAGTAAAAACGTGTCAGTTGGTACAAACCCATTGAGTTACACCCTGCATCTTTTACTGTAACCATTTACTCAAACCATTCTGTAGAACCTTTACTGATATGTCTGATCTATAATTGGACGCACGACTGCAAAGTTTCATGGATATAGTTCTATTATTTTCTTCCATATATAAAATTAGCTGTATGGCAGCTAACCCAACCAGTGTAGTCACCCCATTAAAATTTTTAGAGCATGTGTAGGATGTAATTGGAATTTAATTTCATATATATATACATATACCATAATTAGTTTTTGAGTTACCGAGAGTATGAAATAACTTGAGACAGGGTGAAAATGGAAAATATTTTCTTCCAACGAAATAAGCTTTAAAACGGAGTTTAGATAACGGTTAATTTTAACAACCATTTTGTGTTTTCAAAATTTACCTATTCTATGTCGCAGTACAAAAAGCCAGTCGTAACTTACGTCTGCAAAATTTGAAAAATGTTTATGGTTTCTTAAAAATACATCTTCTAAAAATGGCATTTTTAGGAGCTATAACTCTTAGAAGGGGGGAGGTAGGTGAAAATGTTCTTCTATAAAAATAAATTTCAAGTAAAAATGCATGCAAATATTCCGCAAACATATCCACGGATTGACGGGCGGGCAGATTGACGGACGGAATAAAAGTAATAAGAACTTTTCTTGGAAAAGTGGTAAAAAGGGAAGAGGTGAAAACTGTGCATTTAAGTATTTATATATTCACGATAAGCGCTACAATTTTCTCAGTTAAATTTTCTATAAAGTAAAATTTGACATAAGTTTTACTTTCATTTAAGTTACCAAATACTATAAATAATATGTACGTAAATATTAATATACATATACATGTAAACGTATACAGATATATGCGCATATAAATATTTTTACATATTTTTTATAAAATTATTCTAACATATACATATATACCTATGTAAGTCAAAGTTATGTATTTACTTATGTTTACCTTAATACATATATAATAATAATATATAAAGGTAGCAAATAAAATAGCATACTTACCTATTTTTATTATTTATGTAATACGTATTTATTTTTTAATAATAATCATCAATAAGAAGAAGAAATATCATATTTATAAAATAAATAATTCCCCCTATTAAAATATCATACAAGACTACAACGAACAATAAATTTATAGAATATATAGATATGTGTATTGAATATTTAATTTGTATATAGCATTGGTGCAATAACTCCCTATAATCGTTATTAAAAAATACATAATATATCCTTTTTCTCCAAAAAGGAGAATTGAAGCAAATAAAGTAAGGCAAGTTACAATTTTTCATGTGATATCAAGTTCAGAGTAATCGGGACATTAATGTGTTCTTTACTGATATTATTTATTAAGGCGTGTATGTATATCTTCAAGCATATTAAAAAAAATATATATATACAGTATATTGCATTTTACCCATTTATTATTCTACCTACTAAAAATTAAGTTTTTTCTATTTTGATTTATGCCTTTTTCCTTGACACATATAAAAATATGAGAAAATCATACAAAAAGAGAGAAAGAAAATGCATTCGTGATGTTTTAAAAAAAATCTCTTTTCATAATTAAATATATCCCTTATCTTTCCTCTTTTGCTCAACTTAATTTTTAGGAGAAAATTACCAATTTAATAAGCACATTCAGCAAATTTGCTTTGTTATTTCGTTCTCGTTATGTTACTTTCCATCCATTCTGAATGTAATTTTATCTAAACATAACATAAAGCTCGATTTTAAGGGTTAATTGTGTGAGTTAAGAAAAATAATTATATTTTTTTAAGGCATGGAAATTACCGTTAGCTTTCCGCGTTTACGAAATTTGAAATAAATTTTAAAATTTTACAAATTTTAAAAGGTGGAACAAAATTTTCGTCTAACGAAATGAACTCGCTATTAGTGTCGAAAAGCTGTTAAAATGTTAGACCTTTATAACCTGGTGTTTAGGAGAGAAACAATTTCAAAAATTTGAAAAAAACCTATTTTGAATAACGATAAATTTTAATAGCCATTTTGTTTTTTAAAGTTCAAGTTTAGTATACCGCGATAGAAGAAGCAATTCACCGCTTTTCTGCGTTTGCAAAATTTTAAAAAAGCTTACGGTTTCACTGCAATAAATAATTGAAAAATGGTATTTTTAGGGTTCGGGGGGGGGGGGAGGGGGGGATAACTTTTAGAAGGGGCGAGGTAGGTAAAAATTTTGTTCTACGGAAGTAAGTTTCTACTAAAGATCAATGCACATATAATTTCAGCTTTCTATCTTCAAGGACGTAGAAGTTTTGTAAATATTTCCACGGACGGACAAACGGACAAAGTGAAATTAATAAAAACTTTTTTTCAAAAATTCTTTGGAACAGCGCTAAAAAAGGTACAGGAGAACCAAAATTATGTTAGCACAGCCAAATAAGTGCTACACATTTTTTTAAGTTTTGGGTAATCTCTAGCAATTAAGTAATCTTGAATATCAAAATATATAAAGAAAATATATTTATTCAATTAATATTTAAAATCAAACTTTCATGTTTTAAGTTATTAAATAAAAAAACTTTTGGCATTTTTCAAAAGTTTGTTTAAAACTAAATGTTAGGGATCAACAATAATAATCAAAGTAACAACTAAAGCAAGAAAGGAATTTGATTAAAACAATTTCGAAGTTTAAAAAATTCCTTACTGAACTTTTAGAAAAAAAAACTGCAAAGTTAAAAAATAAAACCTTTTTAAATTTATGCGTTAGCCAGTTTGAAAGTGTGTGAGTCATAACCTTTAAAAAGTTTTATTTGAATAGTTATTTTTCTTGAAAACTTGTTCGCGTACGGTTGAATGAAGCTTATATATAAAGTTTCAAGTGAATCGGTTGAATATCTTCTTCGAAATGGTCGAAAATGTAAAACAGACCCGCTAAAAAGTGCAGATCCCGAAGCCTAATATATCCCAAAAGTTGATGAATCCGTGAAATATTCGAAATAAACTTACATATAAAATTTCATTAAAATCGGTTCAGATGAACTTGACATACACACGTCCACAGACAGACAGACAGACCGAAAGGTTGCTAGAAATAGTTTATTTACACTTCCCTACCATGGAGAAGTGCATTCCCATCGAAAACCTGATATGCAAAATTTGTTGCCATCACATAACCTACCTATTGTATACACAATGCAGCCGTTAATTATTAAAAAAATTACAATTAGCGTACCATGACAATTCAAAACTTTTAATGGTTCTTGAGTCCATTCTATAGGTACAAGTACTTTTGGCAGCACTGTTAGATACGTCACTTAAAATAACACAAAAACATTTAACAAATAAGGGAAATTCTCTCATAATTTCCTTTAAATAAATTTGTTAAAAATTTTACCAAAAAAAATATGTTGTTTCCCCTTGCTTTTCATAATATTGAATTTTATTTTATTTCTCATGTTTATTTGCGTATATGTTTTTATATGTGAAAACTTCCTTCAGCTTCTTTTCCTTTTTTCAAAGCAATAAAAATTCCGCCATTCGAATGTTCACATTTTATGATTTTACTCCTTTCTTCCGTGAATCGTGAAAATTTTATTTTGATAATGAAAATAAAAATTTAATGCATATTACAAAAGTGAAAAAAATAAAATTTTTAAATTTTTTAAATATGGGCGACAATATCAAAGAAGCTAAAATTATGAAAGAATTGCATTGCATAGCATTAATCATATACATGCATAGTAAAATAGCTGGAAAATGTATATACTTATATAACTATTACTGGAACTTTGTACCTGTCGAATTTTATATTCTCAGGCCTGTTTTTAAAATTCAACATACTTTCTTTTAAAAATGTGCTTTAAATAAAGTTAAAATATTTTATAAATTTAAAATTTTAAATTTAAACATTTTATGGCGATAATTTTAAATTAACATTTTTAAATAAAAATTGTGAAAAAATAAGGTATAAAAATAGAAGAATGAAAACTACAAAAACATTACAAAGTATAATATACAAAAGAATTGTATGCAAAATATAAATGAAAAATAAATTATTAATGGAGTGCATAAAATGTTGTTATCATACACGGTTATATTATGCGGAATAGAAAAACTTAAAGGATAACATAAATATTATACACATATACATATGTACATATTTGATTTTCTTCTTATAAAATGAAATTTTAGATAAAATATTTGCTGTTATTGCCAAGCAAAAAGTTATATATCATCCAAAACATTTGGCTGTAATAAAAGACAATTAAAAATGTACAATATTTCTCCGATATATGTGTGTACATACTCGAATATATATGTGATTCATGTAGGATAAAATTAACTTGTATACATTTGTAATATATGGATTTTCATATAAAGATGCTCTATTGTTTAGAAAGGTGCATTTTGTTGGTAGTTTTAAAGAAATATATAACTTGTAGATACATACTTTTACACAGAAATAAATTGCGCATTTTTGATTTTAAGTGAACTATGTCAAAACATTATGTGTGCATATCATATTACATATATGTATAGTTGTGTATGCGCTGAAATGCATATTTTATTTTATATGTACAAAATCTATATACTTAATACAGAATATACAAACAAATTTATATGCTACACCACATGGCATCCTATACTATTAGCGTATCCATATGCAAAAGTTAGTATATATCGGCATAAATAATCACACGTTACTTTACCTGATCTAAATGAACACAATTAAAAGTTTAGCTCAGATTGCAATACGCATATTTATTTATTTATATACATTATATGTATGTAAATAAATAAATATGTGTAAATACAACTTTTAAGATATATCAGGCCAATATATCGGGAAATCCAATTTTTAGTGGGCCTGTCTTACATTTTTGATCATTATGAAGAAAATATTCAATAAATTTACTTGAAATTTCATTTATAAGATTCACTCGACTTTTGAGGAAACGTCAGCAACTGAACGTTTTCTACAGGCCAAATATACATTTTTGCGTATATAAACAGAAATAATCAACCGATTTCATTGAAATTTAATATTTAAATTCTTCGTATTAAAACAATGAACATATAAGTTTTTTGGGAAGATCAGTGCTCGGAAACTGATCTGAGGGCCGATTTTACATTTTTTACCATATCTACGGAACGAATTGATGCGATTTCTTGAAATTTGATATTTGAATTCTGGTTGTTACCGAAACAAGCTGGCGAGCATTGTAGGGAAACTCTACTAAGAGCCAAGTTTACATTTTTCCAGGTATGTTACCTATAAGATCACTAATGCCCTGAAAATTGAAAAGAAGTATTTAACAGACTTTTTTATAATATTTTGGAACACTTTCACTTAGCTAGATTGCGGTCGGTTATGTAATGACCACATCAGATTTTTTGTATTGTCTTTTAACTAGAATCTTTTAACTAGAAATATTTTTAAATATAAAAAGTTAAAATTACCAATGTTTGCATTCAAATTGGTTTTTAAGCAAAAACAGTTTTTCTTTATTTTATGTGATGTTCTATACAGGGTGTTTCGCGCAAGGCGGCAAAGGGATAATTTTTGATTATTGCAGATACATTTGCTTTCGAGCTACAACCTGTTGAAGAAACAAGATACCAGATTTTTCATGCATATAAGGTAAAGTAAGGTAGTTTCGTCATGTAAAGGGACTTCTTTTTGTTTTTTAATAATGTGTAACGAAGAGTTAATGTATGTGCAATCAAAGTATCATTTTTTGTTAGTTTTGAATTTTGACAAAATTATTTTTAACCTTTTCAGACAGTTACATTGTGAACTCTATATTTTTTTAAATTTTAAAATATCTCTAAAAACCATGTAATTTCGTTAACAAAAATTTTGAGCTTTTAATTGCGTCATGTAGAGTCATGGCAAAAAAAACTAGATTCTAATACAATTCCTTGGACAATTAATAGATATCGTGCAACAATTTTGAAAAAAAAGCATAACAAAATTTAAACCATTCAAAAACTACGTAAAATTTTAATTTCATCAGCACCTTATTTAAGTATTACAGTCCGCTGCCTCACAAAATATGATTGCAAACAAAACTTTAGCAAAAGTTAGTTTTAAATTAAGTAGTCTTTTTTAATATTGTTTAGAGCTATGTATTATATTTGTGAAATTTAACATTTCAATTTGCGTTTTTCTCGTATTTTTATCATTATTTGTAGAAAAACTTTGCCAATTTACATTTTTCGTTACTATTAAAAAAGATTGTACCGGTGATACCTGAATAAAATATAACTGACGAAATTTGATATTTTGGCTAGAAACACTATAAATAAAGCTCTGCATTTAATTTTTTTTAATATCTTAAGTTTCAAAAGTAAATATTCATATTTCAAAATGTTTTAATAAACCACTCAATTTCGTCAATCTGACAATCTCCACATTTAAAAAATTTGGTCGGTAACTTCGTGACCTAATTTTTATTTTTTAATATTTCACTTTTTGAATTTTTTTCTTATTAATAATGTTTTTTTATGTTTAATTTGTCAAAATATAAGCAAATATGTAAAAAATTACACATATTTCAACAGATATACCCTTAAGAAACTCTCAGACACTAAGGAAACTAAGAAAACACTAAGAAAAAGAAAAAAATTCGCCCGATATTTTTTGCAGTATTCTTAATTACTTTTAAAATTTCATTTATTCTAATTTTTTAAAATTTAAAAACGGGTCTTCTCACTTTAAAAATATTTAAAAACAAAAATAATTGAATTTTATTAAAAATTGATGGGGTTATTTGACAAATACGTGAAGGAAGTGCGATCTATGACGAAATTAACAGCACTGACGAAATTACCTTACTTTTCCTTAAATAAGTGCTTATTACTTTGAAACAACGTTACATAGAGTAACCATTGTTGGCTTGTTACACAGGTGACTAATTGCTCTTTATTTTCGGTTTTCAATTAATTTACCGTCCGCACTTTATATAATAAGGTATGTGATGTGATGACACCAAATTTTGGATGTCGAGTTGTCTATTATAGGGAAGCGTAAATAAACTACTTTTAGATATCGGTCTGTCGGTCTGTCGGTACCTTTTTCCGAACCAATTTTACACTTTTGTGTATATGAAGAGAAATAATCAGTCAATTTTCTTGAAATTTAATATGTAAGTTCAGGGTGTTAAACAATGAACCTATAAATTTTTTGGAAATAATCAGGGCTTGGAATAAGGACTGGGCCGATTTTGGGGGAACTGGGAGACATTTTTTAACATATTTACGAAACGAATTGATAGAATCTCTTCATGAAAATTTGATGTTAGAGTTCTGGTTATTACTTATGTTAAAGCGGTCACTTCAAAAATCATCCATAATAAAATGAGAAACAATCACTTCAAGATTCAATGTGTCACAAATGATATATTAAAATATAGGGCTCAATTGCGAGAGTCTTTTTTTATGACTTTTATTGTCACTCTTTTAGATTATTACTGCTATTTAATCGGCTTCGGTCAATAGCTTTGAAAGCTTCGGTCAATAACTTTCAAAGCTTTGAAACATTTTGGTCCTGAATTTCGTTTGCTATTCGCGAATCGAAATATAATAAAGTTTGGTTAAACCAATGGTTTGTAATATGCACTTTTCTCTTCAATAAGTGAAAATACTGCTTTTAAAAACAATCTAGCGAAGCAATCTACGTTATTAAAATAACTTATATTCATAAACAAATTTATTTCAAATTTCAATTGCAAACATTTAGGATGACTGATTAATGCAGTATTTGAAATAATGCAAATATAAATTTAAAGAATAAATTTGAAGAAACGAAGTAGTTATTAATGTCTAAAAGTTGCTAAAATTTCAAACTCCTAAATCTTTCGGTCTTGAAGAAAAATGATGTCAAAAATTTGGTAAAAACGGGTTTTAGGTAACGGTAAATTTTAACAGCCATTTTGTCTTTTTAAAGTTCAAGTATGGTATGACACATACATAGATCTTTACTACAAACTTATTTCCGTAGAACAAAATTTGTTGAAGGGAAAAGTGCTTATTTACAAATCATTGACCCAAATTTATTTCATTTTAAAATAACATTCTTCTTTTTTAAATTAACTTTTTTTTTTTAAATTAGCCTTAAAAATTTATTATAAAAAAGAAAAATGTTATTCAAAAAAAAAGTTTACCTTAAACAAAATGAAAAAAGTGTTTCAATATATATCTACCAGGCTACCAAGCTGAAAATATTTTCCGAAATTTTGAACCGGAAAAAAAATTACAAAAACTATTCTTAATGTTTTATGCTTTCGAAGTATATCGATTGAAATATTTTTTTATTTTTTTTTGTGAAATTTTTGAGCATTCCTTGTGACTCTCATTTTATTTAGTATGGTTCAAAAGCCATTTGATTATTATAATTATTCTTTTTTATTTTTTATTTCTCTTTTTTTTTAATTTTAATTTCTTATTCAAAAACTTTACTCTGCAATTCAGTACCCTTCCATTTAGAAGATTGGAAAGATTGTCTGCGCTAAAAGTTTTTTTTAAATGCATTTTTCAGATGGAATTTACCAACCGTTTTTTTTTTTTTAATTTAAATTTTAAATTTAAAAAATATGTAGAATGAGTAGAGCTAAAAATATTGATCAATTTCCTTCATACAAATAATTTCCTCTTCCATTTAAACTCCATACAAATTTGGAATTATTTTTGATTTTGCTCTCTGAGCTTGGTGGCCTGATAGACATATAAGGCATTAGACAAAAATTTTTTTTGCATCTTTCTTGTACTTACCGTTTTATATTGCATTGAAATGATTCAAAATTTAATCAAAAAAAATTTAATTTTTTACAATTTATTGTGAAAAATCAATAGCAATTGCGCAACACTTCAAACTGAAAGATATGAGAACAGTAAAAATCTTCTGGCAACTAAATGAAATTGCAAGCGCAAGCTACAACTTTAAAATTAGTTTTTTCCATTCTTGAAGTTTCTGATTCTCGTATCATTCTTTGCGTTGAAGTCCACAATTTTGCAGTTTTGAAGTGGCATAGTGTGTTTCCACAATATTGCAGAATGTGTTTAAGGCATAGTGTGTAAAACGTTGTTATAACATTTATGTATATTGTATCATGTACAATATTATTTAAAAAAATATATTATGTATGTACATAGGTATATCATGTAATTAAAATAAATATTTTGCATAAAAAAAAATGGCGAATTTATACGAATATAAATAACTATTAAAAAATTAAAATAATAAATAATAAACAAAAGTTATTAAATGTAGCAATATTTAAAATACTGTATTAAAATAAATACTGTAATAAAAACGATTTCGATTAATTAATATTGTACATATGTTTTGAATCAGACGATATGAATTCTTCCTATGCAAATGCAAAAAAGTGGAATTAAAAAAAATGCAAACATTATCGCATAATCACCGTAACTTTCGATAGTATTTGGATATTAAAAACTTATCCAAAAATATAAACTATTGAAATTTAAAATAAAACTTATGAATTTATGATTTCAAGACAAAAATAATTGTTTTGATAAAACATAAGGCTGATTTTTTTATTTAAGTGTTGTGTACATCTACATTTTAAATTGTTTTTATTAAAAAAATTAAAACAAGAAATAACAAAAAATTAAAATAAATTAAAATATTATCTACTTTTTTTCTTTAAAGTAACTTTGAAATTTGGTAATATAATAAAAATTTGGTAGTTGATAAAACAAATTTATAAATAGAAATTGTTAATATTTACGACAAAAAAGGAAAAGCTATAATTTTATCACGGTGATAAGTTTTTTTTAATAAAACTTAACACTATACTTACATATACATATATTAAATAAAAGAAGATATATGCAGGTGCAATTTGATTTAGCCTAAGTTATTGAAATTACGATCTATGTAGTGTACAAACCTAAACCTATAATTTTTACAGACAGTGAAGTTACTTTTGTTTATAAATGCTGTATACAAAAATTTATATAAATTTTTTTACTACGATAATTTATATGCATTTAATTACACTTAAAAACTACTGCTATTGCTGAAATGAGAATTAGGTGAATTCATTCATTAATGAATTTATTCAACAAATAAGTTTTTTCTTCCTTAACAAAGTTGTGTCTATCCATACTAATAAATAAATTATAACCAGTGAAATTATATTGTAAAAAAATCCAAGAATTATTGGAAAATTGCATAAGAACAGGTTATTTATGTTAATCGTGCTTGCTTTGGAATTAAACTATATCAGCAATTCAGATCATATATAATATATGTACATAAACATCTACAATTTTTAGCATTTTACATTAGGTGAAAATATGTTTTAAATTCAACAATATGTATAAGATAAGAATTTAAATCTAATAAAATTTGATACAGCAAGTGAAATAATTAATACACGTATAGCATTTACTCAGATTTGCATTCCAGCATATTTGGATAATGAAGGATAAGAATATAATATAATAGTGTTAATTATAATATAATGTAAAAGTTTTTATTATACTTTTGTAATCGTATTACACAAATTAAAAATGTAACAGAAATAAACATGTTATATAAAAACTCTTCTAAATATAAATATGCATATAAAAATATAAATTAGCTATACCATCTAAAAAGTCAATGTATTATGTAAAAGGGGTAGATGTTTTCAAGCCGGTTAAAAATTAAAAAAATAATTAAATGTTGTCTTTTGTATGTATGTATGTAAGTATATGTATCTGGAAAATGCAAAATCAGTGTTTTTAAACGCAATTTGTGTTTTATATTTTATGTAACTGTGGTATATTTATAATAATTTATAAAATTGGGTAAATACACAAGATTTACTAATAACAATATAAAAATAAGAACAAATTTTGAACCTTAAAATAAACCAAAACAAAAGTAAAGAAATATTATGCATTATCAAGCAAATTAAAAAAATTATATTCCATAAAATTATAAGTTTATTAAAATAATAATATTAATTATTATTATTATTATTATTATTATTATTACTATTGTTATTGTTATTTTTATTACTACTACTATTATTATTAATTAATGTAGATAATAATATATGTATTGTAAACATTTTCTTTTTTTTGATATTTATTTAAAAAATTGTTTTGTTGTTTATAATTAAATTAAAGATAACATGATATGTAGATAAAAATTTTGGAAAGTGAAAACTTTGAAATTTTTCAAGCAATATTTTCATATGAAAGTAATAATACTTTTCTTAGATGGATTTGTTGAAAAATATTCTGTTTATCCTGAACTTTGACTTCTTACATACGTATTATAATTTTTATTTAACATAATGAAGGAGTTGTTAGAACGGAAAAAAAAATCCATTTTTTTTTTAATTTGAACAAAATCTGTTCAAATGAAACCAATAGCCTGGATGTATTTAGTTTAATAAACTTAATAAACAATATTTTGTGGACTTTGGATTAGAAATTTTTTAAAACTTCAATTAGTTTTTATGTCCAGGGAAAGAAAGTATAAAAACCATTATAGTCTTATAACATTTTTATGAAGCTTTTATTGTCATCTTTTTAGTTTTAAATTTTATCAAAATTGAATTACAGATAAAAAATGCATCATGCAAAAGACTCACATTAAGTGATTAATTTAATGCTTTAACGCTATATATTATATTCCTCTTTTGCCTTAAATCTTTTTATGTAAGCAAATTTTACATTCTCGACAGTTCAAAAGAATTCGCATCAACTTACAATTTTAATTAATTACAGGAACAAAATTAAAAACGCCCATTTAACTAATTAATGAAAAACAATAAAACAAAAGTTTTTTTGATGTGCAAAAAATTTGTGAAATATATATAACAACACCCAAAGAAAATACTAAACAATACCTTTTAATAGGGTCGCAAATTCATTTTTTATTAGAACAAGATAATCCGCAAAAGTGGCTACTACAAAGGGAAGCTTAACTTATCCAACATCAACATTGACCGATAGTCAAATTGAAATCAGTCCTCTAGTTACATCTAAAGCAGTCCAAACAATAAGTTCGCTACCAGTAAATACATCTTGTACACCAAATGGAAGTGGCATCGAAACAAAAATTACTATTGCTGCAACACAAAAAATTAACACAGCTACCAGCACTCGTGATTCCCCACCACATTCATTTACGGTTGCAAATATAAAATCAACCACACTTAATGTGCCGACGCAATCAGCAACAACTCAAACTCACTTTTTTGGTATCCAAGCTACACAAACCCAACGGATTGCAAAACAACAACAAAATCAATTACCAACAACTTTGATTGAAATCCATACACCACAGGACTTAAATTCACCATATCATCAATTACAACACCAGCGACAAATTCAACCGCAACAAATCATATTGCACCATAAAATTCAACCCCAACTGTCATCACAATTTCAATCAAATAAAACAACTTGTACAAATGGTTTAGTCGGATCACGAAACACTTTAAAAGCAAATGACATTGGTGATTTAAAAATTTTACCTGTGCCTAGCAGTGATATTGGGCCCGTCGTATCAAATTTATTTAATAACAATATAAATAATAAAGCGAGTCAAAATATTTGTGCATCGCAACCAGTTTTAGTTTCGACAACTTCGCCAACAAATAAAAATGCAACAGAAATATTATCTGTTATTCCAACAATCAAACAACCAAACGTCACACAACAATCAAACAAACAAAACGTTACACAAACATCCCTTATATCAAAAGAAACATTTAGTGGTAGTAATAGCCCAAATTTATTGGCAACACATGTTGCAACAACAACCGGAACATCATTACCGCCGATCATTGTTAAAATTGAACCAACACATTCATTTGAAATAACAAATGAGAATGATTCACGTGTACTCAGTTTACCAATATCTGATTGTGATCGAATTGGTGCTAGTTGGGTTGATCTCAAAGATATAACAGATATATCAAATAGCATCGTAGATGCAAAATATGAAAATATAACAATCGCAGCTGCAACACCAACCGTTGCAGGATGCAGTAGTAGTAGTAGCACAAGAACCAATGGTAGAGGTCGCAGCAGCAGTAGTAGTGAAGTCGCCTCTATATTAATTGAGAACAATAAAACAATTTCAAATTTTATCAACAGCAACGGAAATGGTGATAATAGTAATAGTGGTGGCCAGTTTAATGCTTCGCCAAGCATAGCAACTTCACAAAGTCCCATTTCAAATATTGGTACGAATTACAGGAGATCTACTACAAACACTATTAATGAAACGTTATCTCATTTGACAAAAAATATAAATTATCAACAAAAGGAAACACAAACAATGAAAGTGCAACCAGTAGCTGTTACATTACCCAGCTCACCATCAGCTACTGCAAATATAAATTTTGTTGCATCATCGTCTACTGCAGCTACTCGAGATAATGTCACTGGAGCTATGACAGGTAAAAATAACAAAATCATTTTTATTATTTTATAAGTTAAGTATGGTATATGTTTTTATTCAAATCAAACAAAATATATTTTCAAAAAAAAGTACATTTGCAATTTAGTAGCACTAGAATTGACTATTTTTAAAATTTTTTACCGTCCAAACCCACAGCCTGGGTGTATTTAGTTTGATAATGTATATGTAATAAATATTTTTTTGAATTTTT